GAGAGGTTCTCCATCTTTTGCTGGGCATAAAGTCACAATTTCAGTGGTGAAACATGTCTTTAGGGATGGAAAAATACTAGAGACTGTGACAGCATTTTTTAGACCTTTTTACTTAACTCGTAAAATTAAATGCCTTTTTACTCATGGTCTTATGCATAAATAAAAGTTTTATAAAAGGGCTATAAATTTCATTTGGACAATATTTCCTAAAATATTGCACTTGTTTTTGCCATTCTAAATAGAAATTGTATTTTATATACATATATATATATTTATATATATGTGTGTGTATGTGTGTGTGTGTGTGTATGTATGTAATTCATATTCTTAGCCTTTATGGCTACAAAAATGTTGCTACCCATATGTAATGGAGCACCAGGATACATCTTCTGATAAATCAAAGGCAGTAACCTCATACAACTGAAGTAATAGCGGTTCTCTGTTGGTGAAAAGGAGACTTCAGCAGAGGTTCAGGGAGATTTTCTCTATGTAGGAATCTCCATTTACACAACAAGTGTAGGCACCTGCTATGCCAGCATCCCTAAGGGCCTCTACACCTGAGAGCACAAGGGAGAGGATCTTTCCTGGGAAGAAAGACGTTAAACTCAAAGTTATTTTGGAGTTCAAGTTGTTTGTAGGCAGAATTGAGGAGCCCATAATGGATAATACAGCCCAACTCTGGCATTTTTTCTTAAACAAATTATGGAGCTGAAATTGTTGTCAATACTCTGACAGCTTTTTGTAGAGGAGATGCTCTATCAATGGGATGAATGCAGCAAGCCATTGCAATAAGACTCAGCAGGTAGGAACATGTTTTAGAGAGTTCAATTCACCCACACAGACAAGGTGCCCCTTGTCTCTAAAAAATACCTAGCCAATACCTCAGACAACAACAACATAAAACTACTTAAAAAACAGAATTAAAACAGAGGAAATTATATTAGGCAGAAATTTAAGCTTTTTTAATTTCCCCTTGACTCAAGAACTTATAAATAAGGAAAGTCTTCCAGAACACCAAAACTTGAAGCAGACCTGATTCTCCTCTCACCCTTTTCACACTAGGAGGATGTATGTACATAATTTTTGAGGAAAGATTGCATCTTCTTTGTCACTATAATATTGTAAATATTGTACAATGAAAACAATTAAACAGCAAAGTTTCCTCATACTAAACTCCTTGACCCTATGAGGTTTGTGTCAGCTTCCACCAATACTGAATGTCTCAGGACTTTGCCCTGAGTTTTTACTCAAACAAAATCATCATTGAAACTCAAGATTTGCCAGAGGACAGACTTAGTATGAATCAGATGTTGTTCCTGGACTAAGAAGGTTGCTACCCTGAGTGTGTAGTTTTCTGTAGCTCTCCTGTGACTATTTTGCACATATGGATGAAATATAACTTAGAATACACACATCTGTGCATTTCTTACTTACCTATGAACCCTGTGGGTCAAGCATTAAGCACCATACAGACTACAGCTATAAATAGAATGGAAAGTGTCCTTAAGAGAAATGCTCTTTTTTCTGCTCCCTTATTCCCAGCTGAGTGATTCTAGGATTTGTGGTTTGGTTTTTGTTGTTTTGGGTTTTTTTTCCCCTGAATAGCTGATGGCTTTCTTGATTGGAGTGGAAGGGAACAGCCACTTCGCTCCTTCGACCTTGTTCTGTGCTGTGTTCCACTTGGTGTGCTCACTCTGAGTTCACTGCTGTGGACATTTCAGCACCCAGCCTCCATTTACAGGGAGACTTCTCCATGGATCAGCTCCAACATAATATGATGTTGGTAGGACAGACAGTTCAGATCCTAAGCACACATCTGTTTTCCTGTGATATCCCCCACCCCCATCCTTCAGCTTTCTCTGTTCATAAAAGCAGGGTTTATGAATTTGCCTTTAAAAATATGGTCTGCTTTTCCAATGCACCAGTTCTGCTTTCTGATTCATATAGAAAATGTGCTGCGACAGTGCAATATGTACTCAAGGTTATTCTTACTGGTAGTAAAAAGCAGATTATCCCTGAAAACATATGGAGTCCTGCACATATGGACATCTCCTGCCAAACTAGAGAAAGCAAGTGGAAGCAAATGCAAACTTCAGGAAGAGTAGATACAAGTTTTTCTAAACAATAAACAACAAAAAAAAGAATACTGTTAGACTAAAACTGAAAAAAGTTGAAAGGAAAGATAAGACAAACGATATCTTAGCACAATATGTGTCACCTTATAGGTGACGATGCCTTTTTCTGGTTTTAGAAAATTGGAATTCCCTGCAATGCACCTTGGCAAAGTGCTTCACTGATAAAGATCCCTATTAAAATACTGAGGTAAAACCCCTTATCCCTGAACTGTGTTTGGCTCTCAATTTCTTAAGACCAGGAAAAGACATCAGTGGTATCCTGTCTCAATTACAACTCCATCATATGCTGAGAGATTCCATAATGTGTGGGATGGAGGAGCCCATGTCACACCCAGTAACAAAATGACGAATGAGGAGAATGGGAAAAGAGTGAAAGAGCTAAACTTAGTTCAGGGCATACATGTACAGTTTAGAAGTCCAGCCTAGCCAACAGATTAAGGTAGGAAATCAACCCCAAATTTCTTTTTTTTAAATATTTTTTTCACCACTTAACATAACTCTGCTTTTACTGCCACCAAGGTGGGGGAAGATGTCTTATGTGGAATGGCATTGCAGAGACATCTCATGGCTCTTCTCAGAATTTTTCTGGGAAGGGTGTCATTTGGGTCCTTTTTGGTTTACAGATAGAATATGAGATGACAAACCATCTCAGGGCAATGGAGAAGAGCTGTCAATTACACTGAAAATTCAGTGGTTTGAAGAATCATAAGAGAGAAGGTAAAAATGGTCGTGTTAAGAGTCTGGGGGAACCCTCAAGAAAAGAAAGAGTAATTTGGTGAACCATCTCTTTCTTTTCAGCAAAAAAATCAGAGAACTTTCTTTAGAAGTACTCTGTAGAAGGCACACAATCATACTGCAGCTGGGCTGCTACCAAATGAATATAAAAAACCACCTGAATGCCAGAGGTACTGCATAAAGTGAGAGTCTTTGAGTCTCTCCTGGTGCTTTTAATACCTTTACAACTTGCAGATTAGTATGAACACTAGCAATGTTTTTATTTTCTTTGTTATCCTCACTGCTTTAAGTGAGAGCTAGCAAATTGGAGTGGACTCAGAGTTATCTGCAAAGCTGAGACAGAATTTATCTAATGGTTGCAGGACAGGTAATTTGTGTCACTGCAACAGATGGGAGCTGTAGTGTCAGTACCTGTATCTGGTATTCCTACAGATTTTTCAGGTGACTCTACCATGAGGCCAATTGGTGTGTTCTCTCCAATGGACTCTGAGTTAGGATAGGTCCTTTTGTGTCTGAACACCCTCTGCAAGAGGACACCAGTTTCCAGGAAAGACACCAGAGCCCTGAGATGATGGGGCTGTAAAATTCATGTCTGTGGAGGTTGTGTAGCAAAACTTGAGGGAACCCTAGCTAAACTCTCAAGACAGTGGCCCCAAGGCCAAGCTGCCCTACTGAGCCTTTACTTGAAATAAGGCCAATGTTACTCTTCTATCCACCGGGACATGGGGACATGTCCATTAAAGTGTGTATGGTGCTCTGCTTCTGAGACATGGGGAACAACAGAGAAGTTAAAAAATGAACACAATTAAACAAATCAGGTCTCTCATGAATGCATTGCCCTCTCTCTTTCTAAAATTCTCCACATTCCAAGATCATACTGGAAAATGTGAGGCAAATGCACAATAAATGCTATGAGCTGCTTTTTGGGCCATGCTGTTTCCATTTCTATGGCTATTTGAAAAGTGCATGAATACAAAGGACTTTTAAACACTCTAAAAATTAATACAGAAGAAACAATAGAAACACATTTATTCTTGTTTTATTCAATGTCAGTGTTGCTGAGTTTTGCCTGACCAGATGTTATGGAGTTTCAAATCTGTTCAACCATAGCTGTTAACAAAATGTCCTTCTTTCACCAAAATTAAAAAAAAAAATATACACATTTATTTTAGAAGATATCCTTATTTTATTTTTTTTTTAATATAAATGAAACAGAGATGCAATTTATCTCTTACTAGTGCTAGTACTCATTGTGATTTCTGAGAGTACCAATCACAAGGCTTTGGGTGTGTGCTGTTAGCACACTATTCACACAAATACTTTGCAATTCTGGATGCGCAGTTTTAAGTCAGTGATACTGGTCCTGCAATTTCAGGGTTTGTTTTTCCCTTGATTTTTGTTTTGTGTTTTTTTTTTAAAGGATGCATGTTCAAGATAAGAAACTATTTTTCAGATTGGGGCTGGAAAAGCTTAAGCCTTTCCTCTCTGTGTGGTAGTTTCCCTTCTCTTTCTTTTCCTGGACAGAACTGACAAGCAGTCATTGTCCCTCCAGTGAGCTCTGCAGTATTACTTTGACCCTAACCCATCAATCTGCCTCAATTGGATAATGATCTGTAATCACTTTCTTTCAGGGGAGTCTATAAATTTGCCAAGGCCCCATTCTTCTCTGAAGGCCTCCTTATGTTCACTCCCGTTTGTGCAAATGCTCTCTCTTTTACAGCACTAAATAGCCATGCACATGGCCCTTTCTGTTCAGAGGCACCAGGCTGCTCACTGTTGATTTTCCATGGCTCTGCTCTCTAAAAGGAGGCAAAGCTCTGCGTGCCAGGACTCGGCAGGGTGCAGGACGAAGCCACACCACTTCAAGAGCAGCCGCTTTTCTCATTAAGACTGACCCATCATTAGGCTGCTTTGTGCTGGCCCTTGTAATCGATGAGAGGACTGTGTAGTGTGAAAAAGCTAATAAAGATGAGCATGAGGTGGTAGAGAAGGGGGTGGGGGAGTAAAGACACTAACCCCTGTTAACAGAGAATCCCTCCCTCCCCAAAGCTTAGCCGCATGAGTGAGGGGCAAAGCTCAGGATAGCTGGCAGGGTGCAGACTCCTCTAAGTCATTTCTTTGATTCCCTTTAATTCCCTGACCATCCTCGTTCTGTCCTCTTTATTGGACCTAAGAATTAGAACAAGGATGAAAGAAAGCTCATATTCTCCTTCCTCAGCCTCCTTCCTTCTGATTAAAGAAGATCAAAGGCTGAAGAACATCTAACTGAACTTGAGTGCAACAGAAGAGAAAGCCCACATATGTGCACGGGAGCACGGGAGGGTTTTTTTCCATGTTGTCATGAGACTTTCTGAGGTTCTGAGAACATCAGGGAAAAGGTCAGAGAAGATGAAATATACTAATGTTGCTAATATGTCTTGGGGAAGCACCAAGTGTATCCTTGCTCTGTGGCATGTTTGGTACACTCTGCAGAGAACAGAGGAAACAAGAAAATAAGTAATCTCCATAAAAATGAGCAGTGTGGAGGCAGCATCGGTCATGGGAGACAGCAAAGATGATAATTCTCTGCCTGTACTTCAAAGACAGCAACACATCTCTAGAAGTGCTGTGCATATTCACATCACACCAGAAATAAGCTGCCAGAGTCTGCGTGACAATGTGCCTTAGTGAAATGAAAGGATCCTCTTGTTTGGGGGAGGAGGAATGGTGCCTGTAACATTGTGTACACTGGTGAGAAAACATGTGTAGAGTGAGCTTGCAAAAGTGTAGCGTCGGATGTTGTACAAATGTGGGAGAGCTCAGTGAGGGACAGCTTCTCCCTCCAGAGCAGGTGGCCTGCAGAGCCCAGACCACTCTTCAGAGCAATGCTTTGCCTTCACACATGATCTGTTTGGCTGGGTGTGCCTCATGGACAGGAAACACAGTCCACACCTCCTCTTGTCTCCACTCTGTGCCTCCTTCCCCACTTCTCCCTACGGCAAAGAAGCAGGGAAAGGGCAAAATATGCTACTCATCCCCACAGCCTGAGAGTGCATATGTGGATTTGAGAGTGGCTTTTTATGAGAAATGGTATGGGGAGTTAACCACCTGCACTCTCCCTCATACCTGTTGATAAAGTGAGTCTTTGATGAAGGGCTCAGAAGTTTTCAATATTAAGATTAGGTTTCCTTATTTTGGATATATGCAAAATTACATGGACAAGATCTTAAGCTTATAAATTCATGTTTCCATATTATGAAACTTCTGTCCGTAGTCTCATCTTCCTTGTGACTACAGAAAGTCTCAGAATTAAAGTGAGTTGTTAAAGTTGCTCATGGGCTTATTTAGCACATTGTTGATATTAGTGAATTTCACTTCTATTTTCTGTTTATGTTTCTTGTTGAGAGAGTTGAAGCCTCACACTTCCACTAAACACCTTCATCCCAGCCATGCACTCTTTGGTCCTTTATTCCAGCTGAGTGACACAAATATAGTATGTGACAATGCCAGAATTTTGGAATTGCTGTGAATATACTGTGTCCAAGTGGAGAAGCATCAACCAAGTTAAGAAATGTATGGGATTTGTGGTTTTTGTTTGCTGAGGCTATTTTTTTTTGTCTTTCATTCTTTGAAAGAAGCAAATTCTAAGAGGATTGCATAACAGAAGTACCCACTTCAAAACAAAAGCTGCTTGGCGCAGTATCTTCTGCTAACATTCTGCCTCAGCTGTGCCATTCAATGCATTTCACAAGGGATTTTGTGTTGCTGTCAAAGAGAAGCTGCACAGATTTACTTGATTTGAAACAGGGATGCCTGGCAAGTTGTTATGGGCAATCTGGATGAATATGTGTTGGCATTTGCCTTATTTTCATTCCCTTCAAGATTCCAAATGATAACCATCTTGAAGGTAATTTGTTTTCATTGCATTAAAAATTCCATTGGAAAGTTGCTTTTTATTGTAACTTGTTAAATGCTTAATTGATATCACATAATAAAAAGAATCAAAAAACCCCTCTGGTCCCTCTTAGGAGCTCAAGTTAGCTGCAGTGGAGCCAGCTTCGTTGCCATTTCCAAGTTGTTCTGTAGTGATCTAGCAATTCATCAGTGTCAACGACACATGGGAACTCTCATGTTTGTAAAAGCCTGCAAGGGATCCATGTCCTATATTTCAACAAAAATCACAAAATCACATTTCAAGGTGGTCAAGGTTAGGGAAACATCAGGCACATAATTGCTAGCCCCTTTCTGAAGTGGATGGTAAAACATGGAGAAACAGGCAGAGGCAAGAGGTCAGCAGCTGCAAAAGAAAGGTGAATGCTCTTTTGAAGGACCTAGAAAATTGGAAGTGAAACATAATTGTCAGGATGCCAGAAGCATTTGGCTTCTTCAGGAGGAGGAGTGGTATGAGAACCTAAACAGGCAAATATGTTGGTACATACATGTCACAGAAATCACAGCAGAGCAGTCACGGACAGACCAGTGAAGATCATCTGTGGTTCATTGCTTTATCTTCACCGGCCTGCGTCATGGCAGAGACTTCTCTTCACTCTCTCGCTCTCTGATCCCACCTAATTGTTTATCTTCTGAGAAGCTGCAAAAAGGCCACACGTGTGTGAGATCGAGTCTGCCTCACACCTCACCATCTGTGTGCGAGAACAGACAAAATCTAGCCTGTGAAGGACTGCATCATACAGTGTGAGATTCCTTGCTGCCATGGAATTTTATGGATAATTTCCTTGGTAGATGAGGCAGCATGAGAGCAAACACATATATCCAATGTGCTCAGTATACTCACTTAGAGTTACTTAGATTATGATATGCTACGGTAGGTGGTCTGATATTTAGATATATGTCAAAGCCTCTAAGATGTTTTATACAATTCTTCTTGGTTCTTATTTCACAGGAGATAGTCTACATTGTCTCAGGCTGATCAGGCAGTTTTGGGAAAAATGTCCAGATTTACATTGATATGTTGTTTTCTAACTTACTGGTAAAATTGGATTGGCTTTCCAGGGGAAGGTTAAAGGCACCTGGTTCAAGGATGAGAAGTTTTGACCATTTAGAAAAGATCTGGGACAGCACTTGTCAGCTTGGAGTTATTTTATGTATTGTCATGTTCTTAATACTTAAAAACATGGCAGAAATATAATTTGGTAGCACAGCTACAAAATTGTTGTCGTCTTTCAGCACAGCCCACAGAATGCACACAATATCAATACTTTAATATTCAAAGTAAAGACAGTAAAGAGTAAATTCCTCCTTCTGATCCATCAGTGTGATCTATTCGCTGAGATTGCACTGACTCCTTGACTGAAATTTTAGTTGGCAATTTGCTGATTAGCTCGCTGGATCATTGAATCTTTCTGATTTATCTATTGCTTCCATCATGTTGCAAAAGTGAAAATACTGAGAATGTACTAAGCACTCAAGTACTAAGATGTATTTTAAATGCTGATCAGTTGATTAAGTAGAATAGTTTCTAGTGTATTCTGTCTAAATCAATGTCAAAGGGTTAAAATAGCAAACAGTTGCATTGTGAAAAATGATGTTAAGATTAACTTCATAAGGAATGGCTTTGTGGGATCTTGATATCCACTATACAGCTGCAGTCTGCCTGAAATTCTGAAGTCCTTTCACTTATTGCAAACCTATTTTCTGTCTGTAGCAGTTTGTGTTTCTGCATTTTGCCTGTTCTTCAAGAGGGTGCATGTGTCATGTAATCCATGGATTTTCACTTGTGATGGATGCTGAAAACAAATCTCTCCCTGAAGATGGCAGGCCTCATGGTACAGGATTGGGCTCTCATAAATCTAAGCTTATAGTGCTGCCTAGCAAGAAACTCCTGTAATAATGCAATTTGCTCCTTATGTTTGAGGAATATAATACTATAATAATGTCATCTGCTTGTCATTGGGTGATTTTTTTAAATACTTCTTATAATTTTAATAGGGTTTCTATACTAATACAAGTGCTTAGGCTTATTCTAACACATATATTAACAGCAAAATCTTAGAAACTCATGAGTGGCACATTTACTTGAATCTGATGTCCAAAGTCTCGGGATACTGTCTTATACTCATGTTTCATAATAAATTACTGAAGGTGATTTTTTTTCCTTCCAAAGTTATCTTCCCTTGGTCTGAAAATCTCAGTTAATAAAATGCTGTGTTCTGAAATCTACCTAATTCCCACCAGGAGTTGCATGATGCTGTTTTCTTTTTAACTGACTAATTATTATTAGTTTAGACATGTTATTTACTCCAAAGTGGTTTGGAGATAATTGATTAGGTTGCACCATGTCATGAAAGAACAGATGGCAGGCTAGTCTGTCAGTTCATCCACAGCCTATAAGAATGTTAAGAAAATTAAAACTGAGGGGGAAAAAAAAGAAAAAACAAGAAGAAAAGAAAAAAAAAAGGTGACCAGGAGGGAATGAACTAAGCTGTGCTTGCAACACAAAAAACTTCTTGTTGTGGGTGGTCCTTTGGGAAGGTAATCGGAGATCTGCAATATGTCCACTACAATCAACAAAAGGGTACAATACTTCTCTGCAGGGAATTGGGTAGGGAAGAATTTGTTTAAATAAAATTGCAGGGTTGTAAGAATGTTAAACTAATTCTCTAATGTTCTGTGCATTGTCTGGGGAATTTTGGCTTTGCATCATTTGCTGTACTGAAGTACTGAAAAAATATTCTATTAGAAGTGTTTTGGAATGTGTTAACATGTATTATAGCTTTGGAAACCCTGACCGTGTTTAATGACAACTAAAAATGCCTTTAGAAAAGCTACACTCTCTTGTATTCTCTCCCTGAAACCTTTCCCAAATTCTTAGTAGAATTCTTTATCTTTATCTTGCAAATGGGACTTCAGTTTGCTGTTATTCTGATTGGTTGGCGCCTGCATTTGGTGTGTGTGTCCATATAAATTATTGGTGCTAAAATACCATTGATAAAACTGTATGTGGGTAACTTGCATATAGAGGAATGTAAAGTCTTGAACTGATCTCCCTTTAGCATTTGTATTTATGTATGTGAAAATGGGGGAAACTGTAAGAAAATGGTTGAAAAGAAATATTCCTTGTCCTTCCCAGAGTGCACCAAAAAATACCAATTATACCTCCAAAATCCAAAGATCCCAAAAGAAGAGGTCCAGAAGAAAGTAAGTGTTGAAAGTGTTGAAAGTGTTGAACATGAAAGTTTTTCTCTCTCTAGACCTGCTTCTTCTTTATGTTATAGGTGGTAATTTACTTTGCAAAGTATCATTATGTATTAGCAAATTGAAAAGGCAAGACCTCAGCCTCACTCTCCCTGTGAGATGGAAAACAGGGAGCATCACAGTCCCAGTCAACAGTCTCTGATGAGATCGCTCCCAACAGGACTCTCCTCTCCCTTAGTTCAGCCCATTTTCTTCTCCTCAGCATCCTATCAGTCTGGCAAAGATCTGCTGTGCTGCTCCCACAGGGCAGCAGGGAGGAAGACTTACCTCCTCACTATCCTCTTTCTCTTGTCTCTAAGTAATCATGTGTGAAGAAAGGAGAAAATTGCATTATTACAGGAGTTTCTTGCTAGGCAGCACTACAAGCTTAGATTTATGAGAGCCCCCATCCCGCACCATGAGCCCATTTTTTTAGGTGCTGGACAAATAAGTTTTTTGCTCCTAAAATCTTTCAGTCCCAGAAGGGAAGGAGGTCATAGGGATTTGTCCTTAAAAACAGACATGGACATAATAAAACCTTCTCAATCTCAGAGTTTCAGCTTGTCTCTCAGTGTATTATCCCTCAGCCCACTGATCTTCCTTCCCTCGAATGTTTAATTGTGCCCTCAATTAAATAATTCCAGTAGAAACAAGTTATATTTTACTTCAATAACATAATCTCCTCTCGTAACTGTGCACTGTCAAAGTTCTGCTTCATATTTTTCTACGCATGTTGGGCTTTTCACACATCTGGAACAGCTGTTATCCCAGCAAATGGCTTTTCTGCTGCCTGCATGCCTTCCCCAGTGCTGAGCAGCTCCAAAAGGACCTGTCCTCATCACCTTCACACACCTTTTCTGTTTAAAGAAAGAAAATAACCAGAGTCTAATCACTGCATAAGTGTTTGAGGCCTTGTCTTTATCAAAAATTGTCAGTGAGGATTAGTTCTCATTGGATTGTGAGTCAAGGATTAATTACACTGACCACAGATGGGCATGGTACAAAGAATGTCGGTAAACTCCCCACACAGCTCCCAGAAAGTACTTTAATTATGGCCTGCATAAATTTCTATTCCAGTTTTCGGACTGCCTTAAGCAGAGACTACCAACTGTCCTAAATTGCTTGGTGGTTTGTTGAGGTGGAAATGTATCCTCTGTGGACTAAACTCATTACTGGGAGGTTTATTAGCAAGAAGGTAGTCTAAGTCCATTAATAAATGAGGAGTGAGGCAAAATCAATTATGATTTTAATATGACTGAACCACTAAGCTGCTTTTTTTTGAATCTATCATTTAAAGGGAAATAAAAGAGTATGGGCAATTAAGAAGCAATGAAGATCATAGCTGGTGTGGTTATTGATAAATACAGGTAAGTAAATACCTGGGAAAATTAAATGCATAGATCAGCAGTACTTACTTTACCTTAAGGAAATTTGTGAACATACTGAACCACTAAGAAGTAGTTTTCCAAGCCAGACCACTGGTCCCTGCAATAAAATAGAGTATGTTTACATTGTAAAGTGCAGAGGGAGTGAGAATGGGGAAAGGGAAACACGGTCATTTAGCATCAAGCAAATGTAATTTGCCTGTCCAGTAAAATGATGGAGCTATTAGGACAGAAAGTCTGAAAACTGGTAGCAAAGAATATTACATAACTAGGAAGTACCTATTTCAAACTGTGCCACAGCAGCTTGCGTACTGTGGCTGTTCTCAGCTGTATGGCAGAAAGGAAGAGAACAGAGGTCATATTTCTGAATGTTTAAACATCAGGATATGTGCTTCACAAACCTGCCTTTGGAAAACAATGCCAAGTGGTAGGGATGGGAACACTATGTAGCATGGGCTGAAAGCTGTTAAATGTTTCCAAAGTGAAAATAGGAATGAATGACAACAGGTTTTGACATGGGGAGTTTGAGTTTTTGTGGGAATTGTCATATGGCCTATTTTTCTACAGCATCATTTTTTAACAGTCTGTAAGACTGGATAAATAATTTGTGAAGCACATACCAAGCAGATAACTACAATTAAATCTGTTCTATCTGTGTTGTGGTTGGATTCCTGGGCTGGTTTGGACAACAAACTTAACTAAAGTGAGGTTTTGATCCATTGTTCATAGATACCAAGGAGAAGGGTCCAATTATATTCAGTCAATAGGTGTCAGTCTTGCAAAATTTTGCAAGACTTGAAGAGCAGTAATGTAGGGAATTTTTTTGTTGATTTCAGAAAAAACATTTTCAATAAATCTTTAAAAGGTAATGTGTCTTTAATTTTCATCATTTCTTGTAACATTATTAGAAGGTCTTATTGAACTTTAGGGTAATATTTTTCCTTTTAGGTCTTTGAAATGATGAAATTTGGATGCTGACATTCTTGATGGGTTCATAAGGAAATATGAACAGCTATAATTAATGGTATCACATGCTATATTAATTTTTTCTACAAAATATTAGAAAAACATTTTCTTTGTCCTGGTTGAATGGTTTAGTTACACTGGCTGAAATGTTAATGTTCTTACTGTAGTCTTTTGCTAAGTATTTAGTTTAAAAGATTACTTCCTGGAACAATTTCTACTAAAAAAATGCCTGGTAGCATGAAAACTTTCCAAAAGTACATGTAACATTTATGGCTAAACAGAATCTATGAAAAAAGTTCTGTTACTGGTTTAGCAATAAGGGTCAAATTCTTCTGGCTTGACTTTTGTAATCTCAGTATTTTCACATGACATGACTTTTTACAGCAATCAGCTGATTGCTCTTCATAACCATAAACTTTGTTCTCTATGGAGAAATCAAAACATCTGTGAGTTTTATGCTTAATTTTGCCATCAACCAATTGGATTCTGGAAAACATAAAACTGAATTAATTCCTACAGTAAGAAGCTTCTCTGAATATCAAGTTAAAGCCAGTGGGGATCTGTCCCTGAAAGTGTTGAAATAAACTAACAATAAATCAAATGCCATGCAAAGCAAAACTGGAAAGTTTTATCAAGCTTTAAAAAATGTGAATTGGTGTCAACAGTCTTGGAGATTATGATTGAAAAGGGACATTTTAATTAAAGAGGTCTGAATATGCCAAACCTCTTGAAAGCCTGTGAGTTAGAAGATGTGGTTTACAGCTATTCACATCTTCTTGAGATTTCAATGCAAACATACCTTCCAGCAAAAAGATCCTCAAGCACAGTTACACTGAGTAGTTGTGACCCAAGGAAAATAGCGGAACGTAATGAAGTCACATCTCATTTTCCGATCAAAGTTCATGGATCTGGTGCCTCAACACATCACCCAGAGTTTAAATGTGCAAATATGGAATGTTCTCTGATTTTGGTTGCCATCTTTTTAAATTATGTTTGCCATTTTTAGGTAGGCTTTGGTGTAGGTAGCATCAAATATTTTCACACGTACAGTTTTCTTTGATGTAATCTCTCTCCAGCCATTGAAACTTCTATCTTTTGACTTATTTCTGAGTTAATTTTAATCACCCTTAGAAATGACACGACATAAACTTGATCACTCCCATTGCTGTGTACCATCAGCAGAAGAATAAAATAGAATTACAGAACTACAGAATAGTTTGGGCTGAGAAGGCACCTTTAAAGGTCATCCAGGCCAACCTCTCTGCAATAAGCAGGGACATCTTCAGCTAGACCAGGTTGCTCAGAGCCCTTGAATATTTCCAGGGATGGGGCATCCACAACTTTTCCGGGAAACATGTTCCAGTGTTTTACCACTTGCACTGTAAAAATTTTTTCTTTATATCTAATCTAAACCAACCCTTCTTTAGTTTTAAATCATTGTCTTTGTTCTATCACAACATATCCTACTAAAAGGTTTGTCATCATCCTTCTTACAGGTCTGCTTTAGGTACTGGAAAGTTTCTCTGAGGTCTCCCTGGAGCCTTCTCTTCTCCAGACTGAACAGTCCCAACTCTCTCAGCCTGTCTTCATAGGAGAGGAGCTTCAGACCTCTGATTATCTCTGTAGCCTCCTCTAAACTCACTCCAACAGGTCCATGGACTCAGGACTCCAGGTGGGTTTCATGATGATGAGTGACTGCTTGCTGTCCAGCCTGAGGCTGCTGTCCTCCTGGTGGAGGTATTTCCAGGCATCATTTCCCAGTCTAATATTTTCACATCAGCCCACTACTGTGTATCAGTTCAAAGTGATTGCTGGTGGTGTGAGCTGGTACATGGGCTCCTGGTTCTTAAGTTCTTTTAAAGAAGTTTCCATGAAGCTTCCACAGAGACGTGACATTGCAGCAGGGATAAGGGTTAGGAGTTGGAATTTTGTTAAAGTAGGACTGCATAAACATCTCCACAACTAATCATGCTGCTGTTTTCTTTTCAGATGAAGTGTAGAAATGTGACTAACTATATCATTAAACAGCCAAAACAAACCCCATTTTCACCCAAAAGCCTGGTAGCTGCTTTTTGATTTTTGTGTGTTTTTTTTTCCTTTTTTTGTTCTTAAATGAAGTACATTTGAAAGCTTGTTTTTGCAGAAAAAAATGTTTATCTATTTACACATCAGTCGTTCCACATGGCCCTTCATTTAAATTTTACCTCTTTCAGTAGATGAGAGTTTTGGGCTGTTATGAGAGCTATGACACAAGAAGCATTCAGCCTGATGGTTACCATACTGTCCAAAAATACCTTATATATATATTGATTTATACAGCACATAATGGAAAGCAACATGTGTAGTGTTTTAACCAGTTGCCATTGCAAAGGCACATGACCAGCTCAGGTATGCAATGAATATGTCAGAAATCTGATTTGTACATTTATTTTGGAAATAGTTGCATGTGCAGTCACTTCAATGTTCAGCTTTCTGCTTTGCCTCTGCAAATGAGATGACAGTGATTTCACATCTTGTGCTGTCCAGACATCTTCTGAAATTCAGTCTTAACTTTGGTAAATATCTTTCCTGAATTAAGGGTCTTTGACAACCCATTGACTTCTATATTTATTTTTAATGGAGTGATAGTCTCTTCTGTTTGGCTATACACACACACATCCACACCCCCACACACCCAGCCTTCCTGTCCCTCCCTCCCATTCCCCCCTAACCTGTTCAATTAAATGTATTCTAGAAATTTCATAGAGGTAAAATATAAATTAGTATTATTCAGACTGACAGTTTATTTTAGACAATATTGTCCTATAATTCAAGCTGTGCAGATGCTACCTATATTGTCAAAATAGCCTGTGCAATCAGAAACTTGATAATTCATGATCTCTGTGTCTTTTAGAGACACTTTGTAATGCAGGGCCAGACTGGGAGTTTAAGTTTAGAAGGAGCATTGTTAATCTCAGGATAATTCTTTATTTATATCCTTTCTTTTACAGAGGTTTTCTACTTGGGTGATTAAAGCATCAAAACCTGCTCTGAGGCTAGCTCTATTTCAGGGCTCTAAAGGAACTCACCACTGAATGAAAATCATTTCAGGAACAATTAGAGAGAAAGTCCGCATAAATTCTTCCTGTATCCAGGGCATTAGCATCACCCAAGTGTCTCTTGCTTACAGTACGTTGTGACAAAGTAAAAGCTATTTCAGCTGTTATGCTGTGATGGCTGTTATTTATGGAACATAAAAGGATACTGAAATACAAAAGGGTTTGAAAAGACCAGGGTAAGATCAGATAAAAAAAAAATGAGAAAGAAACAGGCATCTTGGGATGGTAACAACCCTGCCATGTACTGACAGGGAGGTTGTATATTTTTAGAATATACTGAAAGGAATGGTGCTTTTACTTAGGTTTTTATGGTTTACCATGAGATGCAATTTTCTGGCCTTATATGCAGTTGTAACAAAAGTCAGAGAGATTTTATGATAGCTGCCAGAGTTCATAAATGATGGCATACACTAAAATATTTATAGAACTGTAAAATCTTGATTTCTCTCTGGTTTAGCAGATGGGGTCCTAAAACTGGTTCCCAGATTGTCACATTTCTTTACCCTTTGATGACAATGAAGCCTGTTATCACTTTTTTTCCCCCTCTGGAAAGCAAGTTCACTAGTGTAATCAAGTTCATACTTCTATCCAATTATACACACCAGGATCTCATGAATTAAGATATGTCAGCCATATAAGATTTGTAATTATTCAAGGCAAAGGACCTATTGTTAAACACCAGGATCTTAGGAGCCTTGCCATGTCTCTGACCAATGACCATTGACTCGTGTCAGTATAATTGCTGGTGAAAATCTGCTTCCTGGTGATTAGGCTGCATCCACACAGCACAGATAAATGCTACTTATACACCAGAAGTGGTGAACTTAGGTGCCTGTTTGGTGCAAAGCAGCAATATAGCACAGCTATTTGCTTCTCTTCAGGAAGATTTTTTTTGTCCTCAGAGAAAATGCCTGTAGCACTGCTAAACTCAGATGTACTTCAGAATGAAAACTGATGGTTGGGGTAGCAGAAGAAGACTAAATAGTGTCTGAAACAGAATTTTTCCACTGCTGATCAGGATTTACTCCACATTAAAAGA